ACCTCCGCCTCTCAGGTTCAAGCGATTCTCCCACCTCAGCCTCCTGAGTAGCTGGAACTACAGGCTCCTGACACCATGCATGGCTAATTTTTGTATTTTTAGTAGACAAGGGATTTCACCATGCTGTCCAGGCTGGTCTCAAACTCCTGACCTCAAGTGATCCACCCACCTCGGCCTCCAAAAGTGCTGGGATTATAGGTGTGAGCCTCTGTGCCCAGCCTAATATTTCTTTTTAACATTTCTTTTTCTTTTTATATTTACAAAGATACGGTCTCACTATGTTGCCCAGGCTGGTCTCAAACTCCTGAGCTCAAGGGATCCTCCTGCCTCAGCCCCCCCAAAGTACTGGGATTACAGGCATGAGCCACCATGTCTGGCCTTAATATTTCCATCAGTTTTTGAGTTGGTTTGAATCACCTAGCCTCCTGTTGCCAGCAGCAGAAGTCCCTGGGAGGTAACTATGACGATCAATTTCAGTTCCCAATTGCTGATCATTTATTGTTTATTCTGTTTTTTGTTTCTCCTAATTAGCCTCCTGATGCAGAGAAAGAACTGGCTGATAAGATTGAGAGCACGTGGTCCAATCTGTTTAATGATTCGGTGAATGTGGAGCATGCTCTTGGGGACATAAAGAGAACTTTCACAGAGGTGCCTTTCCAATTTCACTTCCTGAGTAAAGATACTGAAACATGTATTTGGGCTAAATTAATGTAACCTCGTTTTTCTCAGATTACTCGAGGCGAAATAATGAACTACAGAGTTCAGATAGAGGATTTTGCAAAGCGTTTTTACAGTGAAGGCCCTGGTTCTGTTGGTGATGATCTTGATAAAGGTAAGAATGTTCCTGTGGGTCTTACTGAGCGATCTGAATATCAAATGTTTGAGCATGTTTTGCTTAAGAATTTTATGGCAAGTGATTGTTGTGCCCTGATTTAAATATTTATTTCTTCCTCAAATACTTTTTTCTTGGCTCCTTTTAGTGGTCACATTAAAAAAAAAAAAAAAAA